CCGCCATGCCCATAGCCTGCTCCTCCCTTGGTTGATTTTCCTCATTTTGCATCGATGGTCCAACAACATCCCCTGCATTGATAGGACCCTCTACATCTTCGGTTTGCATTGAAACATTTATATCTTTCTCTTGTACCGACACAAATATAACGAGGGGCCATGACCGTTCAAAAGCCATTTCCACATACCGTCTCCAAGCATCAGTGTTGTCCATCGGCATTAGTTCCCAAAAATAACCTTCTGTTGCACGACTCACTACAACTGACACTGACATTGTGTAGACTTCTTGGTCTATTCTAAATCCTCTCAACAACCAACTATAAATTGACTGAAATGTTCTCTCCGCAGGCCTATCGATGCCCTTAGATGTCATTACAAAATCTGACAGATCAACACCATCTGGACCAAATCTAATATTTCCTTCACCGTGAACTATCTGAAATGTGACCTTACTTAACATTGTGCCTGATGAAAACAATAACTGCGTTAACCTCGCATTTCTGTACTACGCCCTAAGTTACATTCTCTACAATATTGTTCTCTAAATTTCTAAAATTACGTTACATTCTCCAGATCAAACTAAACTACATCTTACAATTAACACTACTGTCTATGTCTCAATTCATACTATTATATTCTATGCTCTGGATCTACACATATGTGTTGTGTGCTACAGATGTGCTAAAATATATGGAACTAAAACTAAAACGCAACATATATACTCAAACATAACATATTAGTACAAATGCAAAAGATGTATGGGAGCATACCTGTGATGAATTGAGCGAACCAGCAGGGCTTCGCCGCTCCTCTTCTGCTGCCCTCCCCTCTCTCTCTTTCGTTTTTTTTGGATTTTTAGTGAATATAATGAAATTTCACAGAGGAGGGACTGGGCTTTATAGGGGGGAGGCAAAAATCGCCCTCCCCCGCACAGTATAAAATCGCCCTAGCGGAGGACGGCAAGGGGGCCGCCTGCAAATTTCGTTGACGGCCGTCTGTCACGTCATTTTCGCCGCCCTCTGAGAGGGCGATTTTTAAAAATCGCCCTCCCAGAGGGTGGTAGGGGACTACTTCCGTCAATTTTCAAAATGGAAAATTATTTTTGTAAAACTTTTAATAAAAAAAATTATAAATAAAAAAAATTCTGCCTACCTCCAGCCAACCCCCCTCCTCCCAGGGATAAAAATTGAGCGGACACGGACCGATAATGCTTGTACCATATTCGTTTTCATTTTTTTTATCGGATATGAAAACGAATACGGATAGTTCGAATACGGAAACAAATACGGATTATCTCGAATATGAATAAGAATCGAATATAATCGGACATGAATACGGAAACAATTTTTTCTCGAAACACGAAAACCAACTCAACTTCTAATAGAAACAAATATCAACATATATAATTAGCTCATTTTATATATGAAGTATAATTTATAAATATTTTTTAGAATTTAAATAATATTAATAGTACACTAGTGTTAAGAGATAAACTACTATTAAAATATATAAATGTTATAGAGTTAAAAAGAAATGGGGTATGTCTCATGGCTTATGTGGATATCCAAATAGCATTGTTCACCGGATATCCGAATTATTATCTACAGAAGCGGTACCACCCATTAGGCGGGGTTGGGCGGCCGGCCCAGCTACGGCCCGCACCGCCCCAACCCCCCATATCCTTCTTGGGCTGCCTACCACCACATCCAATTTGCAATTAGCCCATAAATAAGCAGCCCAACTGTCCAATTTTAATCCTGCGTATGTGATGCTTTCCTGAGTCAATTCCTCGACACTACTCACCCCCGTCCCCTACTATAGTTAGGTGCCTAATGTTTTTCTCTCTCTCTCCCTTCTAAGCAAAATAATAATTATCTTATTCTGGGTATGCGATATCTTTTCATATATTTATTTTTTAAAAGATATCTATCAACTATGCTTTCTGAATTGACTCATATTTACAAATTGATATGTTTACTAGTATCTTTTTATGTATGATGAATATGGCGCAAAAATTATTACTTTATTTTAATATCATTTTTGTTTTTTGTTTGCCTTAATTTATTGATTATACTATATGTTTATATAACATATAATTACAACATAAATATGGTATTTTTTGCGTTTAGTTGTTCTTATTGAGAATAGCATCTTCGCCCCCCATCTTTATTTTAATCCTGCGTCCGCCACTGATTATCCGTATCTGATGGAAACCCAGGTACCATATCCGTATTAATTTGTATCTGGGAGAAAATATCCGTATTTGTATCCACATCCGAACTATCCGAGAAATATCCAATCTGAAAGGTATCATATCCGATCGGAATATCCGTTTTCATCCCTACCCCCAAAAATCTCTGCCGCACGCAGTGACTCGTGCGTATAAATGGTTTCACGTGTTTAGGAGTGTGATGCGAGGCTGAAAACACTCTGTATAAATGGTTGATACTATATTTTTTTAGCTGTACTGACGTTACTATTCAAACTTTCTACTACCACTGTCCATTCTAGTTCTGTATCACATGTATGCTTTACACTACATTTTTGGGACCGATGTAGTACTTTTTTAGGTATACCGACTGATAGCACTAACTGCACATAACGGAGGATTGGTATTGAGTAGCTCATTGTCAAGAATTTTATATATATATGTTTTTAGCGATTTAATTGTATGGTAAAAAATAAATTTCGATAAAAGTTTTTAATATTTTAATTCTGGCAACGGCTGATGTTAAGTAGCAGTATTTGCAAACGGGAGAGATTTTTAGAAGGGGTGACAGGCCGAGATGGGGTCGTGCCGGCACGGTGGGCCGTGGAACAAAAGGACTTGTGCGCACAAGTTATGGGCTGTATTTTGGAGTTGGTCCAAATGGAGTAGCAAAGCTGGCATGGCGTCTCCCTAGGAGTTAAGGTCGGTAGAACTAATAAGTACGGTTCCGACTCGGACCCTGCACTGCAGCCTAGCTACGTGTCTACTCCTATATAACCTGTCACGATATAGCACGGGATCAGCGCGATACGAATTACGAAAGCAGAGGAGGGAACCCGATTAATCACCGTGACACGTGGGTAGAACAGAAGACGGGTTCAGAGCGCAGCATGTCATCACACGGCGACGGCGGCGGCGGCGGCGGCGGGAAACGGCGCCTGTACTTGGTGCTGGATGACTCCAAGCACGGCTACGGCTTCCGCAGAATCGATATGGACGAGTACTACTTCGAAGCCGACGACTCCGGCGACGACAGCGCGTTAGAGAGGATGACGGAGTATCTGCCTTCCCGCCGGTGTCTCCGCGTGAAGGCGCCGCGTCATCAGGCGATGCTCTTCAAGGCCCTCGGCACCAAGATCATCGCCACACACCCGTCGCCCACCCGCGCCGCCATCCCGGCCTACGATGCCCGGGCACAGGCAGTCTCCGCCGGCCCAGCTTGGCCGCCGGGTGAGGGTGACAGCACGCTGCCGTCTTGCTCGACCGTCTTCGTCCCCGTCGGCGACAGGCTGTACGCCCTGGACGGCGGCGGCGACAGCGGCCGCGCCGTCAGCTTCCAGGTGCTCTTCCCGAGCGGCGGCGACGGGTGGTGGTCGTGGAGCAGCGTCGCTTCGGCGGCGGCGCCGCCGTTCGACCCGTCGAGGATCACGTCCTACGCGGCGCACCCCAACGGCCGCGCCTTCTTCGTGTCCGTGGCGAGGAAGGACGTGCCCTTCTTCCCCACGTTGAGCCGTGGCTGGCCGTGGCTGCACGCGGGCTCCACCTTCTGCTTCGACACGGAGAGCTTGGAGTGGACCGACTACGGCTGCTGGATGCTGCCGTTCCAGGGTCAGGGACACTACGACGCCGAGCTGGACGCCTGGGTTGGCATCTGCCGCCACCCGGACAAGCCCGGCCGCCTCTGCTCGTCCGACGTCCCGGCCCCGCGCATCAGAGGCCGGGACAGCAGGTGGCGGGTCCCGTCGTGCAAGATCGGCAAGGACGTCCTCTTCTGCAAGGACAAGGAGCGGCACCGAGGGGTCGCTCTCCACTACATGGGCAGCGACAGCAACTTCTGTCTGCTCGAGTGCGTGGAGCAGCCGGCGGCGACGGCGAGTCGGCTCATGTACGTGCGGATGTTCCGCCTCAAGTACGGCAAAGACGGAGGGCTTCGGACGGCCACGCTCGGCCGCTGGGGCCGCTGCTTCCTTCTGCCTCCCGAGGCTTCCAGCTTCGACGTGATGGATCAAAAGATCACGGCGTTCTTGATGTGTATAACTTAATTAATTGTACTACTCCAGTTGCTATTTTCTACTCCCTCCGTTCTATCAAGATTCGTTGTACTAATTATATCCCATCCATAATTTAATCTAAATTTTAGGTTGACCTTTTTTTTAGAATTAAGGGAGTATATAAGATTTTATTTGCACGTAATTCGTATGAGTGATCGATTGCTAAAGAGAACACGAGTCGATATTAGTTAGGAATGACAAATTGACAAGTGATTAGTGTGCGGTAGGGGTAGATCGGCTCTTATGCAGGTCAGCACGGAATCTAGCATTATTTTTACACCGTCCAAAAAATAATAATATTAACTACATATATAAACATATTAATATGATTGGATGCAAGGGTTGGCACTCAATATCGTGCACAACAGATAAATATGGTACATAATATGGTACATGTCTACTGGTATGACTAGGCTGATTCGACGAGAGAGACGAACACGGATATATATATATAATTCTTGACAATGAGCTACTTCCTCCGTCCTATAATATAGCAACTTAATACCAGATAGGACATTTCATATTACAATGAATCTAGACACTCTTCTGTCTAGATTCGATATACTATAAAATATCCAATCCAAATACTAGGTTGCTATATTATGGGACAGAGGGAGTACTCAATAACAATCCTCCGTGATGTGCAGTTACTGCTATCAGTCGGTATACCTAAAAAAGTATACTACATCGGTCCCAAAATGTAGTGTAACTAAGCATACATGTGATACAGAACCAGAATGGACAGTGGTAGTAGAAAGTTTGAATAGGAACGTCAGTACAGCTAAAAAAATATAGTATCAACCATTTATACAGAGTGTTTTCAGCCTCGCATCACACTCTTAAACACATGAAATCAATTTTTCTACCACAAGTTATGAGCTAAAGATTGCATGATCAGTTAACAAAAACATGGATGCAATAACAGAAGTCTTATAGTTATACTACTATATTGCATATTTCTTCATGTAGGCTCCATTTTTTTTCTGCCCTGGTCCTTTTGTCAGTAGCCGTCAAATACACAACGTTGAAACAATGAGCTTTGTAGAGCACAGCGGCAGCAGATTACACTTAGTTTGACGAACCACAGCAACCTTGCGAAACAGATCGGTTACACAAATTTTAGGATTCAAAAGCATGGCTTCACAAATAATGAAATAAAACATGTATAAAAAAGATTGATAAACTAAACAATGAAATAATCTATCTCTGAGCACAGAGATGTATATATTAAAGCAAACCAATTCAAAGATAAAATATAAAAAGATTTGACTCATGATATTGCTTTACCTTTGCATCGTGAGCAATATACAGTTAGGATATGTTTAGGAAAACATTGCCATTGAACAAGTTGATGCGCAAACTAAATTGAAATGTACCTTTAAATGAAATTTGTGTCCGTTTAAAAGATGAACAGGAAATCATCTCTCCATGATGGATCCAATCCATCCATTTTCTGTTGCGACCTAATAAAAAAGGAATATAGAGGTATGTCATGAAGCATGAATAAATCAAGGTTATTCTAGAGACCGAATGTTTTCAAGACTCAAAATTGGAGTCATCTTCCTTTTAATGAAAATGATCGGGTCCGAGACATATCCTAAAAGTGTGTATAGTCATAATCTGGAGACTGGCAACAATTACATTTTCTTTAAACAACATGTTATTCTTTTGGTGCTCATCTTTTTTTGTACAGAAATATGGCATCAAAGGTTGACTCATAACCTCTCTAAAATTTGCTAAGACATTCTATAAAATCTAAAAAAAAAAATGATGCTGTGCTACTTAAAAAAAATGAACATTCTCTTTTGTACAGAGAATGTCCTTTCCCCATCTAGGCATTTATCTACAGTGTTCAAGAAGACGCTAGACGCTAGTTGGGCGGGAGGGTGGTGCCTAGCGCCTAGGGCCAACTAGGTGGCGCCTAGGTCTGACTAGGGAGGGAGGAGTCAGCAGGCAACTTGTATCCAATGGCTAAGCCAATTTATCAATTTCATTTATATAACATAGCAAATTGCAGCATGCCAACAGCCAACTTGGAGAAAATACATGTGTTTAGGATTTGAATATTTTATATTACCTTTTGTTTGATGGTGCCAACATGCCAAAGGCTGAACATAGCAACTTGCACCTCCAATTCCAGGGCTTAGGCCTTCAGCTCAGTGAAGAAGCTCATCATCAACAAGCAGCATGCCAGCAATGCAATGGAAAAATAATCATATAGTCAGTTAAGCTAGTATAATTAAAATTGTCAACTTTTAAGTTGGCAATAGTGCAATACAAAAATAAGTTGGTAAGAGAAAATGTACCTTTATAGCTTTGGTTCCTTGGTTGAATCACCACTGTTTCCACAGGACTCAGGACAGTAGTACAAATGGTTAAATACGGTATCACCTCAACAAGAATAAGGTGCAAGAAGCAATGAAACATTGAAGGTTGAAGCAGATTATCCAAAATTCAGAATAATTAACCTACATATGCCAAAGCGGAAAAGCCAAATAGCAGTTCTAATACACCATATCAGCACAATGAAACTAAACCAGAGTTCTCAGTTTCTCAACTCTCACAAGTCTTGGACAAAATAAGCATAGTAGAGGAAACAGAGGTAGCCATTAAGCAAGCAAAATTGATATCATTACATCAATCATCAAGGATTGAGTCAATCTTCATCCTCCTGGTCATAAACTTTAGTTGGAACGATCTCATCCTTGTCAGACTCAAAGTCAATACCCTCTTCATTGGCCTCATCTTCTTCTCCAGAATTGAAATCATCTTCATGAAGCTCCCTCACTCTAGCACTCCTACGAGGTTGCATGGCTTTAGTAGCCCCACTTGCTTCATAGATGAGACTGAATGGAAGTCCTGAAATGGGATCAATATCTTCCTCATCTCCACCATCAGTGATCCACCCTTGCGCATGGAATGCATCTGTAGCTAGGAGCACATCTTTGTTATTTTTCCATTGCGTTTCTCAGCCCTTTTCAGCAACCTTGCATTGAATTGAACATAGACTAAGTTGTTTAGGCGACCAGCCCCAAGCCTATTTCTCTTCTTTGTATGAACCTATGATTCAGAAGTGACGAAGTAAATACTTAATTGAAAGTAGCAACTAAACAAAGTGCTAACTGCATCTGCATGTAAGGTTGACAAGTTACCATATCAAAAATACTCCAATTCCTTTCACAACCAGAGGAACTATATGTCAAGGAGAGGATCCTTATGGCCATCTTTTGCAAATTAGGAACATGGCATCCATATGCTGCCCACCAGTCAGCTATAAGAAGTATGATTTATCATTTAACAAATAGTGAAATAACGAGTTAATGACACAGCAATGCAACATGGAACAAATATAATGCAGATTGTAGTTGCAGCAGAAAATTACCAGGAGAAATGCGATTTTTGACATCCAGTTCCGCAGCAGGTTTCCCAAATGCCCCTAGCTAGTCCTTAAACTTGGGAAGTTCATTGATCACTTGAGCTTGAAGATCATCATCACCACATAAAAGGTTTCAATACAATCAAAGAAACCATCCATGATAGAAGGATCCAAAAAGATAGATTGATCATGGTAAGTGTAATAAGGAATCAATATATATGCTGTCAAATGCAGTGGAGCATCAAGCCTACCCTCCATCTTTTTAGCAATATGTTCAAAGATGGGATTGTAGGTGTTCTCCAAGTTTTTTGCAGCTACCATGATTTCCTTCTTTGCCTCTAGAATTTGTCCACAGATGAAGGTCAGGATAGACCATCACTATTAACCATGTGAAGTACTTTGACTAATGGCTCAAAAACCTGCAAGAGATGAAATAGCACATGTCAATTATGCAAATATTGATTGATCAACATGCAGGACAGCACATGGTATAAGGTTAGGATGCTTGTATTACCTTCAAACACTGAGAAACATCATTCCAAAAGGTCCTACTCATTAGTGTAGAGGTAGCTATCTTGCCTTTTGCTTTTTTTAGTGCGGGTGCATTGTTCCCACAATCCCACTCCACACTAAGCGCCATTGCCCTTAGCTCACGCTTCTTCTCAATCAAGCTTTGCAAGGTTAGAAATGCTAAAGCAAATCTAGTCACACCCGGCCTTATGGTATCTCTCTTCTTCGTGTGCTTCCTCATCAAGGCCAATGTCTTGTGATGTGAATAGACTTTGCATGGTATAATGTGGCCAATATGTTCTTTGATCCTGCATTTTGTGACCACATAATAAGCATTGGACCCTATCTTTGTTTGATTCATTGAATGTTTTGCCTCATTCCCATCCCATGTCATTGGAGTTCCTCTAATGAGGATAGGGTACTTCTGTTACCCCAGTAACACTGGTGGTTGATGAGACAATTTGCATATACAGGAGGACCAAAATTAGTAAATTATTGAACATCTAAATCTGAGATTATATCAATTTCATCACACAATTGACTGATTGAGACACTTTCTGAGGTTGTACGATGCATATCTTGATTTCATGCCACAGATGACAGATCACTAAATACTTACATAGTCAAATGACCCCCCCCCCCTCCCTTCTTCCCAAACATACACAGCAGCAACAAGCATCCACCCAAAACCACCAGCCAATCCACCACCACAAATAGCATGTCCAGCACGAAGCAAGCAAGCACAAGCATTCCAGCAAGGCAGCAAGAAAGCATTGTAATGCAAGCAATCAACACCAATCCACCACCACCAGCCACACCCACAACAAAAACAAGAGCAATTTGTACAAGAACATTTAGATCAAGTAAATACTAAAGAAGTAAAGAGTAGAGTAACAGAGCATAGCACATAGTAATACTAGAATATTGAGATTTGAGACGAGCTCAGAGGAGTAGAGGGTAGAGAGCAGCAAAGCAAAGAGAATGGCTTACTTGCTCGATTCGCCAGTGTTCACCATGGTGGTGCTGGTGTCGGCAGCTTGGAGCAGAACACGGTGGTTGGCAGGAAGGATGGGGGCAGAGCAGAGCACCTGAGCACCTGAGCAGAGTCATCGACGAGTCGAGGCACAACTGCGCAAGCACGACCGTGTGAAAAAGAACAGAGGATGGTAGGCTAGTCGCTTGGTCGCGGAGAGAAGCAGAGCAGCTGAGCTGCCGGCGGATCAAACTACTATGGCGGCTGCGCCTGCGCCTGCGCCTGCGCACCGTCCTAAGGCAGCTCCAAACCCTAGCCGCCCCTTCACGCACTCTGATTTTGGGATTAAGTCAAGCAGCCAGGATGCACCCACCTTATATACCCGCCACAGCAGCCCGCATAGCTAGCTCAGTCGGCCGCCTCGTCGACTAGTCGCCACCGTGCCTAGGCCGCCTAGGCGCCGAGGTGGACCGATGTTGACCGTCGCGGCAGGGCAGCCGCCGAACTCGCCACCGAGGGGCTAATCACGGCGCCGAGGTGCCGCCTAATGGCGATTTTTAGAACACTGTTTATATAGTTGGAAAGAAAAAAACTGAGCAGCAATAATGGTGGACAGAATGAAAGTCTTCACTGAGATAAATGAAATATTAATGAATGAAGAATGCTACCAAATATTAGATGAGCAATAACATACTACATCAACATTGATGTGAAGCTGAAGCATGCATGCAGTATATCTGCTTCAAGCAGATGCAAACAACACATCATTGCCAATCGAGAAGATAAGATTACAAAATGAAATAACTGAACAGAGATAATGGCAAATAGTGGTACAGACTTCTTTGGAGCTAAGTAGCTAATATAAATATGTAAGCATGGAAATTTCAGGAAATATAGTAGATGGACAACCATAAACCACATGGAAATTGGTGTGGAACATACCTGTAATTTATGCGCTTGGAGCATATAGCACACATCAGTGAAAGGAACACAGTACAGCAGCATATAAAAAACTCCTTTGATGTACATTCAAGAGGCAAGCCATGTGTACTTGCAGCTTCCAAAACTGTCTGAATATGAAAATACGCCCTGCAGCACAAATGGTAACAAATAAACCTATCAACATTATCGTTTTGCCCTCCAAAGTTGTATATGCAATTCCTAACTGAAATAAATAATCGCAGCATAGAGAAATGTGAGTAGCAGTGTGCATTGTTTCAAACTAAACAGTTTGATCACACATGACAGTGTTGAAGTACATGCCGAGGGAAATTTCTCTGCACAACCTACACACTGTAACTAAATCATGCCTTACACACATTATAAGCAAATCAAGGTTGTAATCGTCATCAAGAACTAAGGTCCAGCCACTTCCTTCTCATGGCACTGAGCTAGAACCAAAAAGGAAAAAGGAGAGCAGGAACGACCAGGTAGCCGTCGTTGCCGACGCCGAGCCGCGGCTGTCTTCGTCGCGGTCGTGGCCGAGTCGGCGCTCTCCCCTCCCTTCTCACCTTCTGTCAAGGTCGATGAGTCAGACGGTCCCCGAGCCATATTACACCGCACTGATCGAGGCGTAGAGGTCTAGGGCGAGGGAGGCAGTGGCGTGGCAGGGATGAGAGAGGAGAAAGGGCGGCAGCGCCGGCGGCTCTCGTCCCTCCCTGCGGCGCCGGATACACCGGCGAGGAGACCGGGGTCACCGGATCTGGCGGCCCGGGCCTACTCACTGGGAGATCCGGCTGCTCGGTGGGAGGGACAGGCAGCAGCTGGAGTAGGGCGAGGGAGTGGAGCAGGAGGGAGCTGCGGCGGCGGCGGCGACGGCGCGAGGTGGGGCGAGGCGGCGCGCGTGGTGGTGGGGGAGCGGTGTGGAAAGGCCGTCACAGTGAGACACATGGACGGTAAGATCGAACCTACCGCGAGATCGGACGGTGGACGTAGAGCCGTAGCGGGGACCTGGTGCGGAATTAACTGAACGAGCGGGGTTCTTTTGCAAAAGGTGGACTGACGTGGCGCATTAAATCTTCACAAATCCTACCAAATTCGATTTTAGAGAGGTTAATATTTGTTAGTTTTGACCGAAAGTAATTAAGGGCTTTGTTTGGTTATTGTGCTACTAAATTCTTGTAACTTCAATAGTAGTAAATACATATTTGGTTTGCTACCCAAATTTTTACCATAAAGTTTAATCTTAATACTACTCAATTTGTTAGTGCCAAAACTTACCAAGCTTATGACACTACCAAGATTGTAGTAAAGTAAAAGTTGGCTTCAAACCAAACAAGCCCTAAGCCTTCTGGCTTTTCCCGTTACTCTATTAGCAGTGTAAAAAGGACACAAATGAAAAGGTACAATAAGATAATACGTGATTTGATATTTAAATAACACTGTTGGTCAAATCCATGCCTAAAAAATAAATGAGTAAATTGTAGTTTAAACCACTCTTTATTGTTAAATAAAGTTTTTCTTTGAACCACCCAATTCTATGTCTACCATCTATTTATGGTGAAAATACAGCCTGTATAGGGATGTAGAAGTTCATCTGTGTTTAATTAAGTTTTTTTGGGTGGTCCAAACTAAAAAAAACACAGTTATCCAATCCAAAAATAATAAGGTTAGTTTAAAGGTAGTGCAAAATATAACTTTAGCAATAAAATGTGGCCCAAATTACAATTCACTTAAATTAAAACTAACAAGCATCGGTAACCATATGCTACAATGACATTGTGATTTTATACTCCATCCATCCCAAAATAACTCAACATAGGATGGGATGTGACCCATCCTAGGACAACGAATCTGAAGAATAAATGATGAGTCGCATCCCATACTAAATTGAGTTATTTTGGAAAGGAGGAAGTATGTGATAGGATTGTTTTAACTTTTTCAAGCATCTCCTGAATGTAAGTTAAATCTATAGTAGCCCTTGTGTTGAGGTCGGTGGTTCAACGCCAAGTGGTATGGCGTACACCCATTTGCTACGTTGACCCGATAACGAGACGAGGTAGCCACGGCGGTGGTATGGACTTAGCACAATGTTTTCTTATTAGTGAAGACTTAGCACAATGTTAACCTGTTGGATCTCAGCGCCATTAGGGCTGGTTGCGAGGTTACACTTCTTTTTTTTATCAATACAATTCTTTTTATGAAAAAAGTTTTTATTGAAGAGGCAAATTTCCAAACTTTCGGTGCAAATCGTGTTCCCGCAATACACAACAAACGAACGGTACAGCCGTACAGATAACGCGAGCACTATAAATTTAACAATATGCCACTCTATAGGTGTAGCTTTAACAGGATGCCACCCCATAGGATGTCCTTATAAAAATACCACTTTATAGAGGTGGCTTCTTAATGAAATACCACTTTGAGGTGATTTGAGGCTTTTAATCACACTTTGGGGTGATTAGAGGTTTTAACAGGATTCTCTCGGCCGTTCCACCTTCCTTGGCCGCCGAGGCGCCTGCGACGCGAGCCAAAGGAGAGCCACCTCGGTGTCCTCGAGCGCCGCGGGGAGGCGGTGCTCTGGAACGAGGTGGTAGTTGGACGCGATGACGACGGGCCTAGCTCGACGGCGAGGGCGGCGTCAGGGCGTTGTACCGAGGCCTCCCCGCGATGGCGCTCGGCACCGGCCCCGCCCACGCCGTCTACTTCTTCACGTTCCCACTCACCCACCACCTCGCCGTCGACCTTTCCGACCCTGTCTCCCTCGCCTGCGCGCTCGCCGGGGTCGAGGCCGTCTGCCCATCTTCCACATGGTCCCCACCTCGGCCAACGCGCGACGGGTCCTCCTTCCTGTCCCTGCACTGCCTTGCCGTGGAGAGCACGAGGTGACGAGGCGGCTCCTTGCCGCCTGTTGCCGGAGCTGACGTGGTGGTCGCCGGCCGCCTGCTCCACGTCTCTCGGCCCTTCCCACCACTCCTTCCTCCCTTCTTCGCTTGTGCTGCCGCCGTTGCCCTCGCGTTCGCCGAATACTCCCACGCCCGCCTCGGCGCCGGGCTGCGCGGAGCCGGCAAGCGAGATGTGGCCCGCCGCCGCATCCCTCCACCTGGGAGCCGACGCCGGCGGGCGCGCGGATGGGTGACGACTGAGCGGAAGGGCGTAAACTGGCAAGCGGCGGCGAGAAGGAGGAGGAGCAGCAGGCGGAGCATAGCGGCGAGGCGGCGAGAGGCGAGGCAGAAGGAAGACGAGGCGGCGGGAGGCGAGGCAGAGGGTCTCGGTGACGGCGGCGACGGAAGCGGGGTCGGGGAGGTTGAAGAGGAGATAGGGGATGGAGGGGGGAAGCAGGAGGAGGTCGTCGTGGTCAGCGGCGAGGTGGGCGACAACCGTGTGGAAGGGTGAGAAGGGGCGAAGGCGTAAACCTGTGAGCCCCTTCTCTCCCTCTCCGCCCACCGGCGATAGCAATGCGTCCCCATCACGGCGGCGGCGGCGGCGAGGAGGAGGAGGAAGAGCAGCGGGTGGAGCACGGCGGCGGCGAGGAGGAGGAGGAAGAGCAGCGGGTGGAGCACGGCGGCGAGGCGGCGGGAGGCGAGGCAGAGGGGCTCGGCGACAGCGGCGATGAAAGCGGAGGAGGTCGTCGTGGTCAGCGGCGAGGTGGTTAGAAGGCGATGGTTCGGTTAAAAAGTGTGCTAATCACCCAAAGTATGATTAAAAGCCTCTAATCATCCTAAAGTGGCATTTCATTAAGAAGCCACATCTACGAAGTGGCGTTTTTATAAGGTCATCCTATGAGGTGGCATCATGTTAAAGTCACACCTATAGAGTGGCATATTGTTAAATTTCTCCGCGAGCACGGGAAAGAGAGTAGGACGCTGCGGTGATGCTAAGGACTCAACCGCCAAATAAGAAAGTTTCTAAGGATCCAGAAATAAAAAGCCAAAAAAGAGAAGACCCTTATGTGGCAGTTTGAAGAAGTCGAAGGATAAGATTGCAAAATTGGCAAACAGCTGTCAACTGGGAGGCAAATATCTTCATCGTGTTCGTCATTTTTCCTTTTTCTTCCTCCTCTCCCCTTTCTTCTTCCTCACTTCACCATTTTTTTTTTCTTCTCTCCTCACCCCTTCACCACAGCGGGCGCCGGCGAGCGGCGAGGCCGGGCCGGATCTCGCCGCCGCCCACCGCTTGACCTCCCTCCGTGGCGCTGCCTCCAGTAAGTCTCTGGCTCGAGATACACCTTTGGGGATAGAGATTATTTTTCTTCAGCTTTTGCAGCTCTAGCAACTTGCAATAACACAAATCTTGCCAACTTTAGGACGAAAATCTAGCTTCAAGGAGCACTAGGAAATCCTGCACCATTCATTACTTGCAAATTTCGTGATATTTCTCTCACGTAGTAAACTAGTACTTATGCTGATGGTATTTGGTGGTTCTTACTAAAGCTCGTTGGTTCTTGTTTGTGGGATTGCATAATGTGCTTTGAGTACCAGCTAGTTGTATCTAATTTTGTTATTTAGATGTACTATGAGTTTGATATTTGGTACTAGAAGAAGGCAATCAGGCTGCCCGCTGCCCTTAATTTTAATTTATTTCGCCGGGCCAGCGAGAATGCGGCCGAAGTTTATTAAGGTGGGGGAAAAAACGTTCCACAAATTTACAGGACTCGAAGAACTACAGCACGAGAGCCGCCGAGAGACTCGAGCTGGCGCCACAGAGCACATCACCAGCCCAGCACATATATACAACTCAAGCCAGATACGCAGCGACACAGCGTTACTTTCGCCAATCGCCACCCCATTGCGCTTCCGTCGTCATTCTGGGCGTTTAGCAGACCAGCTTCCTGCCATGTCTTCCATTTGTCCTCCATATATAGCCGCACAGAGCGCCCGGCCTGTACTGACAGCGCCTTTCCATTGAAAATCCGTGTGTTTCGTACTTTCGTTCCTTCCGCACCAGCCATGTAACCAATGGCGGACCCTGGAAAAAATCATAGTTATGGCGGAGACGAATGAATCGTCTAAGAGCATTTCAATCCAACCACAGGAAAAACATTTAAATGCCCATATTGTATTTATGAAATAAGCAGATACATACTAACCGAGTGATTTCGAATCAACATCTACTGTGAAAATGCAAACACGGAAAATATAAACTCAGTACATACAAGAAAATACCAAGCTAATGTACTGTATATCACAGTTTGAGACTCTTGTTTTAGTCCTCTAAACAAGATGAAACAATAATGAAGAACCAGCCAAATAAACAAAGTAGCTAGGTGGATTATACTTAGTAGTTGATGCTTTCTAAAAGAAAATGAAGTTAAAAGACTCACTAAGCACTAGTTTTGGTTGTCTTGGCCATTGTCACTGTTGCTTACTTGCTTTCCCTATTGCCTGGGAACAATCGCAGACGCACGGCGACCAGCTTCGCTGTTGCCGTGTCTCGAGCAGCCGCCTCCTTGTTGTCCTTGTCGGCTGCCATTGCTACAATCAGGCCCACCTACACGGCTTGACGAGCTAGTCAGCTAGGTGCTCCTCTTCCTGCTATAGATCAAAGCTGAGGTAATGACCAGTCGTCCATCGTCACATGCGCCACCTATGATTTGCTCCGCCGCGCGCCATTTGACGCCTACCTGAGCCACCAATCCGCCGGCAACCTCAAACACGCCAAGCTCTAATTAATCAAGCAGCTAGCAGCCAATGCCCACCACTCCATCAGCCCTAGCACGACGAATCGGTGATGGGGAATTGGGGATTGAGGAAAATGAGTAGGCTATGGGCCAGCTAACCTAGCACATTAACACGTACAACCATTCCCTCTCACACCCCCATCTCTATCCATTAACACACCAAGTCATCTTCCTCACGAGTCCAAAGCTTCTAATGCTACTCTAGGAGACCATTCGAGCATTCCTTGTGGTAGTAGCCATCCCTGGGAAGCTGAGGGTGAGGGT